AAAAAAAAAAAAAAGACCCAATGCGGCCAATAAATAAAAAGAGAGACCAGGGAATTCCCTGGTGGTCCAGTGGTTAGGACTCGGCGCTTTCATTGCCGTGGGTGCAAGTTCAATCCCTGGTCAGGGAACTGAGATTCCACAAGCTGTGTGGTGCAGCCAAAAAAAAAAAAAGAAAGAAAAAGAAAAAGACAGACCGAATGTTAATATTACTGTTATCCCTGGGTAGTGAAGTTGTAGATTTTTTTTAAAAACTTAATTTTCTGATAATATCTAAAATTTCTCTAATAAACATTTATTCTTTTTTAAAATGAGATAATTCAAATACCATAACATTTCCCATACGTGTTCTTACTTTTAAGTAATTCAAATCATTTAAAATTATCTATACCTCCAGTATACTTCCAGACTTTGTTTGGGATACTTATATATTTTTGCATACCTATAAATGTTTCATTGTTATATATAATTTTATAATTCACTTTTCTTTTTTTTTTTTTTTTCAAGTTTTATTTTTTTTTTTTACACGGGCCTCTCACTGTTGTGGCTTCTCCCGTTGCGGAGCACAGGCCCCGGACGCGCACGCTCAGCGGCCATGGCTCACGGGCCCAGCCGCTCCACGGCATGTGGGGTCTTCCCGGACCGGGGCACGAACCCGTGTCCCCTGCATCGGCAGGTGGACTCTCAACCACTGCGCCACCAGGGAAGCCCCACTTGTTTTTCTTAATACTATTTCTTGATCGTGTATCCACATAGAACAAAGAGAATTGCCTCAATATTTCTTCCTTGAATAGTTTTTCATGATTCTGCCATCGTTTAATTCTTTATAAAGGATATTTAAATTATATACTGTATTTTTCTCTTTTTTAAAAATATTTATTTATTTATTTATTTTGGCTGCGCTGGGTCTTAGTTGCGGCACACGGGATCTTCATTGTGGTGTGTGGGATCTTTAGTTGTGGCATGCGGACTCTTAGTTGTGGCATGCACGTGGGATCTAGTTCCCCGACCAGGGATTGAACCCGGGCCCCCTGAATTGGGAGTGTGGAGTCTTATCCACCAGACCACCAGGGAAGTCCCTCTTTTTTTGACCACTCTGTGTGGCTTGCGGGATCCTAGTTCCCCGATCAGGGATTGAACCCAGGCCCTCCGCAATGAAAGCCTGGAGGCCTAACCACTGGAGAATTCCCTTCTATATTTTTCTAATTGGAAAATTATTTTTATAGCTTCAGGGAGTTTGCAGTTCTGGTGACCCTTAGGAAGGATTAGAATGTTTGAACAACCAAACTGGAAAAGAATAACTGGCTTTTAGTAACAGGGATTTAATGTTTAATTGACTAACAACCCATGAAGCCTAACCCAACCTTAACCTTTTCTCACCCTTAAGGCACATGAAGATCCCATGTATGACATCATACGAGAGAATAAAAAACATGAAAAGGATGTAAGGTGAGGTTGTCCTGATGATAACAATATCCTCTTAAAGTCCGAAATTATATAAAGTTGGAAACAACCATTCCAATATTAGAGAAATGGTTTAATAAATATGGTATTTTAATTGTGAAATGTTAGGAGAGCAGGAGTAATCCCTGAAGAGGCCAGTATGTGGGGAATGAGCAGGACAGCCTGTTCTACTTGGGTTAACTTAAAGCAGTGGGCTTTGGGACTTCCCTGGTGGCACAGTGGTTAAGATGCAGGGGACATGGGTTCGATCCCTGGTCCAGGAAGATCCCACATGCCGCAGAGCAACTAAGTCTGTGCACCACAACTACTGAAGCCCACGCGCCTAGATCCTGTGCTCCGCAACAAGAGAAGCCACCGCAGTGAGAAGCCCGTGCACCGCAACGAAAAGTAGCCCCCTCTCTCTGCAACTAGAGAAAGCCCGCACGCAGCAACAAAGACCCACTGCAGCCAAAAATAAATAAATAAATTTAAAAAAGAACCGTTATTAAAATTTATTTAAAAAAAAAAGCTGTGGGCTTCGCCGGCCTACATTCTGTGGTCCATCAGTTAAGCCTGTTATCTCCCTTGACCTGTGGTTTTTCTGCCCAGCTTACCCAAAAGAACCTCAAACCAAACTCCTCCTCCTCTGTTCTGATTTCCAGACTGCTGAGCCCATAAAGCTGTCAGTCAAATTCCTTCATCTTAAAACCTCTTTCCTCAAACTCAGTACTCTACTATTAGGGAAGTCAAAAGAAGCCACCAGACCTCCCTTTACCAAGGTATCTTATCAGCCTGCCATCATGGTTGTGGTAGGCCAAATTGTAAAACAGCCCCAAGGTTTCCTACCCAAACCTATAGAACTGTTACTTTAAGGGATTTTACTCCCATGATTAGATTATGTTAAAAGATAGTTTGGCCTTTTAAGGGTGACTGTTTGGGTGATCTGAACCAAATCACATGAGATTTTTCTTTTTTTAATAAATGTATTTGTTTGATTTTTATTTATTTTTGGCTGCGTTGGGTCTTTGTTGCTGTGTGTGGGCTTTCTCTAGTTGCGGCGAGCGGGGGCTACTCTTTGTTGCGGTACCCTGGCTTCTCTTGTTGTGGAGCGCAGGCTCTAGGCGCGCGGGCTTCAGTAGTCGTGGTACACGGGCTTAGTTGCTCCACGGCACGTGGGATCTTCCTGGACCAGGGCTCGAACCTGTGTCCCCTGCGTTGGCAGGCGGGTTCTTAACCACTGCGCAACCAGGGATGCCCTTGCATGACAATTTTAAAACCAGAGTTTTTTTTCTGGCAGGTAGCAAAGTATGGCAGTGGTTCCCACAGAGGTTTCTGCTCCAGTAAGTTTTGACTCTGTATCTGCCCATCTCTCCAATTTTTGGGTCAGTGGTTTGCCCTGTGACCTCAATTCTCTGATAGATTTAAGAAGATCTGATGATTAATTTGTTCTGCTTTTTACTTGTTAGGACAGAGTGAAGACTTCTAATCTCTTTACATGCCAGACCAGAGACTGGAAGTTGATGGATATTGCTTTAAGCCACTACATTTGTGGTAATTAGTTCCTGCCCACATCTGGAAAATTCGTGAGGGCAGAGACCATCTTGTTTCATGTTGTAGTCTCACCTTCTAACACAATGTGTCATGCATGGTGGTGTTCAATGGGAATTTATTAAAAGTATGGTTACATTTTCCATTTGGAACATGATTTGGAAGTTATAGTGGATGCTGTATTGTGCCACTTTTATTTGCCTCCTAACCCCTACGCCTGACTTCAGGACTGAAGTATTTATTCTCCCAACTGCTGGTTAACAGCTGACTTCAGGTAACAGTTGCAAATGACCTCCACTTTCCAGGGATTGGTGGTTCTTTCTTGAAGAGAGCTACCCTATCCAAGGCTACGCCTCATTTCCAGGGGCATCCTGCATCACAGTGACTGGTCTGTGCAGGGGTGTAAGATGTAGCCTCTTGCCCCAACTGGGACAATTCTGCAGGGTCATTACAGCTCATGAGCTCTTAGTGGGATTGGCCAAGGCCTTTGTTGTGCCTGCATCACACCCAAACTCCTGCTTAATCATGCTTTCTTTGTCCCCTCAGAGATGTTATTCCCTAAAGCACTCCCCATTAAATTTCTTGCACCCAAATCTCCATCTCAGAGTCTGGCCCTAAGGAGCTCCACCTGCCACAGAGGTAAGATGGCAGGGAAGAAGCAGGGTAGGTGTGGTCAGGAATTATCGTTCATTTTAGACTCCACTTTCCAAATTTAGACTTGGCTTTTCATCTCCCCTCTAGGGTAAAGGCGAGACTTTGGGAAGGATTACGGAACAGGAAGATGTTCATTGGTACTCTCCTCTGTCTTGGTGCTTCCTCTTCCATATACTGGCATTAGCAGTTTCCCCACCTTCTAGGGTCCAACCCACAAGGCCCAATTTGTTAATCTAATTAACACTAAGCCATTCATTCACAAATACCTGAATATATATGATGTCCCAGGATCTATACTCTTCCACGGGGATACTGCATTGGCTACACTAATCCATGGCCCTAAGGAATGAACACATGGTCTCCTTTGATGAGGGTAAGAATGTCACAAGTCTCATCTGTCATGTCATGAAATGGGCTATGAAAGTTAAGACACAGGTGCTACTAGAACACATAGGAGTGTCACATAATCCAGCCTTGGCTGGGGATAGGAGTGAGAGGTGTTTTCCTGGACTATCTAAACAAAAGCTTTATGTAGGGGTTAGATAAAGTCATAGGTCTCATAAGACCAGCCTTGGAAACATTACCATCTTTTGCTTCTCATCTGAAAAAATGTAGCACTTAATCACTTTTTACCATCTCCTTAATCCATTTTGAGGGATACTTGGTTAATACAGGGAGTTAAAGGACATTTTTCTATAGGACATTTTCCACCACAGGGTTACTTAGAAGCAGCATTGAGTGGACACATTGATATGTATCAAAATACTGTCCATACTATCACCCAGAAAGCCTTTCTTGGAGGCACCCCCATCCTCTCACATAGGCTCTGTTCTTTCAAATAACCGTGGGAGAGCCTCCAATCACATAAAATTCTTTTTAGCACATAGTCACAGACCTAGCCTGCACCATTTATTGGGAGATTGGTTCTACAAATTGACCACCTAGGTCCTAGGTTCTTAGTATAAAGATCTTTTGTTTCCTAAAGCTTCCTTTATTCCTAAGGGGTCTACACTAGTTGAAAGCATAAAACACATGATTCTACAGGCCACCACTGGAAATATCCATCAGTGGACCTACTATGTTCCTGGCCTCCATTTATAAACAATGAGTTGGCATCCTTTCTGTCTTCAAGATGGTTCCTCTCTGTGGGGAATGTTTAATCTTTTTATTTTGACCTCAAATCCACCATCCCTTTCTCCTTATCAAAAGGTCCTTGGAGATTACAAGACAAAACTATTCATGACAGATGGTGCTGTCATGAGTGATGTGGCCATTATGAGAGAAGAAAATGCTTAAGAATCACACACTTTTGCAATTCAATTTGCTGTTTTACAACTTATATTTCCAAAGGCTTTACAATGTCACATTTTCTTGTTTTTTGATACAATGCTTTAATAGTTCAGTCAAGAGAGATATATGATGCAATATTTAGCTCTTCCTTGAAGCTGGAACTCAGCAGTTTATTTCCTATGAAATAATAATGGAATACATTTCCTTAAATTGGTGTGTAACAGACTCAAGATGTTATACAGAGAATCATTACCAATATCTTTAGTTTCCATTTTTAGGATAAAGCCAAAGGTCTTGACATTTTGCCTGAGCTTAGTTATCAGTCTTCCCTTTATGACCACTGCAGGGCAGAAATGGCCTTTAAGGGGCCATCAAGCCACTGCTCCAGGACCAGGGGTTGAGGTGAGGCAGGGTTACCCAATGCCAAGACTCTGTGTAGGGAAGCCTGTCAAGCTACTGTTCCTTAAGGGAGATGCTAAGTTTCCAGCACCCAGCTCTAAGCTGGGATGCCAAGAGTCTGGGTAGGGAAGGAAGCCTGTCAAGCTACTGACCCTTAAGGGAGATGCTAAGCTTCCAGTACCCAGCTCTAAACTAGTACACTAAGAGTGAAACTGCCAGGATCACTTACAAAATCCCATTTTAACCCACTACATACTACCATTAACAGATCGGGAGCTAAGTGTGAAAGCCAGCTTAAAAATAACATTCCACAGAATTGAAAGGCTTTGGCTCTAATCCTGTCAGGTAGGGCCTTCTTTACAAGGTATGTCTGTTACCTGGGTAGAACTCTGCCGTTTGTCATTGCCCATAAGCAGTGTTAGCTTTGAAGGGCAGACCAGGCACCAAGTAGGAAACCCCAAACAAAGTCCAAAAAGCAAATCATAAGACGAACTGGACACAGGACAGATACCAACCTCTAGAGCTGCTGGGTATTTCCTAAACTTTATAGCATCTGCCTCGAATCTCTGTTACTTTGTAGGGGAACTTGGTTTTTGATCTCTCACAGTTAACCTGAGGGAAGAAGTGATTCATACATTAAATAATCCAAATTGCTTACAAACCAAAAGGAAAAAATAAATCAAAAACACATCTTTCAAGAAACTGACCTGTTTTTCATGATACTATTCTATATCATTCTGTAGTTCTTGGCAGCAAAAAATATCATTGGCAAAAATAATAACAGACAGTTTACAGAAGAGAGACTTCAGCCTGGAAATTAAAATCTTGACTGTGTGACCTGGAGTAAACTGAAGTACCCATTATCTTCTTCACAGGACGACTCAGACAGACTTTTTTCTTTCCAGCTGCACCGTGCGGCTTGCAGGATCTTAGTTCCCCGATTAGGGATCAAACCCTGGCCCTCGGCAGTGAAAGCAAGGAGTCCTAACCACTAGACCACCAGGGAATTCCCCAGACTTTCTTTCAGACATGGCCAAAGAAGAAAAGTGCTAAAAACTACTCAACTACAATATTAAGAAGGGGGAGAGGGAGTAAATTTATAACCAGTTATTACCCCAA